TAATTTGCACACAAATGAATGAATATACATACATACATATATATATATATATACACATATATTTATGTGCCAATATTGAATAATTAAAGCTTTATATAAATATTATAAATTTCCCAAAACGGATAAAACGTCGACATTCACGATAATATCGTAGCTACATGGCAAACCCTTCAATTTAATATCTACCAGAAATAGGTATTATTTTATTATCTATTTTGGGTCCAAATTCAAGGATGTGGTACACTATTGGAGATCACAAGTTTCCACGGGTTTGAGCACATTAACGTTGGATTCAAAGAACCAAACTATACAAGAAATTCAAATTTTAATTGTATAGCAACAAGGATGAAAATTAGTTTAAATTTTGTTGAGAAAATTATTAACAATCTGCATAATTATTAAATTTATCTAAATTAATGACTATAACAAATTTCGACTAGTAGATGCCCACAAAAACGGATGATTTTAGGATGGGATTATTAAAACTCAACATTAAGAAGCTAGTACAATTAAACCCCTATTAGCTACACTTACTGCTACCAATTCAATTGACTTTTCCTGATGATTCAATATATATATATAAATCAAGCATGAATTCAACTCTTGATGTCAAATTGTCAACTGCAACCAAGCCCAGATATTTAGGTACATATATACACACACAATATATATATGCACAGAAGCACACCTCCATTGAATCTTGAAGAAAGCATTTTAAACGCATTGTATGTAGATCAGTAAATATATACCTATAAGAGGCGTTTATAAAGAAGACTAGCAAAGAAAGGAGAAGCAGAAGGTCGAAGATATCGATGTGCAGATTGCATATATACCAAGAAAAGGAGACAGAATTAGAACGAGAAAAAGCACCCAGCAAGTGTCCGAGCTGCGGAGGTCAAGTTCAGGCAGTCTATGTCGAAGCTCAGGTCAGATTATTAGGCTGTTTCACGGCATGTTCAATTACAAAGAAGAAGTTTTTCTGCACCCTTTGCTCTAAACGTCTCATTCTATGTTCTCAGATACACACCCTTTGATACAATATTAAATTCGCATTTGAATGATTCATTAAATTTCTGTAACCTAAATTCAAATGTTTATATACCTGTATTTTGGAAATCAAAATGCTAATACTCTAATTGGCAGAGTTTGTATAAATCCAATGGATGATAATATTAATAGAAGAGTCGAAATTTTTTAGTACCTCACCTCATGAAACAATTAGTTCATTCTTCTAATGAGCTCGTTGATGTAATCCTCGCGGTTGCCAGCATCGCCGCCTTCAACATAGTGATTCCTCTTCTTCTTCAATCCGCCCAATGGAGCTTTGAGCTGGAATGGCCACAAGAAGTTGTTGGCTTCTTTGAAATGAGGACCAACGGTGAAGATCTCGTGAATGAGGTCTTCTATGCAAATTATCTCATTCTTGCCCAAAGACTATAAAAAAATGAAGGGATGAGAATTGGGATGCGCAAAACAAATTATTCCTATTATTGTATAGGATGGGTTAGTAAAATCAAACCTGCTCAATTATGGAGTTGTCGGTCAATGCAATCCTCTGCTTGTTTACTTTTCCGTAGCCCCTTTTGTATATCAACTCCTTGACACTTTTAAGGTTGGGGTACCTAGAAGTTATGAAGCACCAGTATCAGAGTTTTTGTTAAAAGTGATATTTATAAAAATAGTTGAGGTAATTTATTAATATAGCTTACCCATAGGTAACATAAGGCTCAACCCTGTGCAGCATATTCATGGTAGCTTTGTTCACTTTCAGAAAGACGCCGTTAAAGATCTACATGAATGCCCAATGAAAACAGTCAAAAGGAGTGAAAACAGAAGATGTGTACTTAGAATAAAATAAAAATAAAGATACGAAAACAAATTTTAGAATGTAAATTATGAAGGCGTATCACAGTGAGCAGCTTCAAGAAGGAGAAGCCCACGTTCAGTTTTAAACTCTTCAACCCAAAAAAAAAAGGGGTGCAAAAAACATCTTTTCGAGTATGATTCAACTTATACAACGGACCTTTCTAGCTAAATGGTTAATAAATTCAAAGTACACAAGTGGTGAATCCATACGCTCGTAACAACTAGATTTAGAACAGATGTATGAAAGAAGCATAACTCTTAAAATGAAACACTGATAAGTACCTGACGCAGCCTCAGAAGCTGCAGAATCTTCTTGGTTGTTGGGTGCATAGCATTAATACTGGAAGAAAATGAATGCGGCACATTAATGAAATTCTAAATAAAAGATGAAGATATCATCAGAAGCATAGAATGGGCCTACCCCCGGATCCTAATAATGAACAAAAGCTTAGCTTCAGGGTTCACATAAAAGCCACCCTTCAATCTGGCTTCCCGCTTCAATTGAATCAACTCCCTCTCCTATACAACAACAAACAATGAAATTGTAAAAAATAGACTCAAGTAGTAATCAGATCCTAATTTAAATTGAAACAAAAACAATTCTGTATACCTGTTCAGCATACTCCTTTGCATAATGTTTTGCTCTTTGACAGATCAACTTCCTGGTGTCAGCCTTCTTTTTCTTGGCTTCCTCGAGTTCTTTGGCCTTTGCAAGGGCCCACTCCTCTGACCTCTTCTGCTTCTTCAAAACTGACTCTGGAACTATGGCTTTTACTTCAGCAACCTCGGCCATCTCTGATCAATAACCATCAAACTAAATATCAAATCACAGTATAGCATTAAAACAACAATGTGCTACCTAAATCAAACAATTTATACTCCATCAAAATTGCAACCATCATTAAGACTGAATTTTATATCATGAAAGGGTATAAGAACATCAAGTAAAAAATTATTAATGGTCCATACACCACTAGCTCTCTGCAGCAGACAAAGTACAGCATATAGACACAGTTTATTCCAGATTATTTTAATTAAAATGTTTCCACTAAATAAGCCGGATTCTTGAATCGTGAAAAAAAAAATATAAATAAGAAAAAACGTCTATCAACATACTTTCTTCTTTGCAGGACTTGCAAAATTACACGGGCAAAAGGAAGTTGTAAAAAATCATTCTTGCTCTTTATTCTGATGGAAATCCTACAAATGGACTACTAGGCTCCGCAGCAAAGCTTTCGTACAAAAAATTCAAGCACGCCTAAACTTAAACAAGAGCAAAGCTTTTTCCCATGACCAGCAACGCAAAACATATAAAACGACCGAATGGCACTGCACTTCCTTTTTTATTTCGCAATGCAAATCTGCACAGCCTACACCGAGATGACTTCTAACACCCGGTATTTCCGCCATTCTTTACATTCACTAGAACAAGAATAAGAATCACAACCAGCTAACAAAACGCGACGGAAACTTAAAACTCGCTTCCAGTTCTCGTCATTCACATCACAACCACAACATCCAAACAACCTTCGATTTGGGGATACACGATGAAAATAAGGAAATAAGAAGGCAAGCAAATTACCTGATTCGATGAGTCGCCGGTGCACACTTCCCGCTGCAGTGTGAGGCTCGGAGGAGGAACAAACCTTACAAACCCTAGGAGCTTATATATATATAGTTAGCTTAAAGCAGATTTGGATCTATGTTGGGCTGGGCTTAAATCCATTTTCTCTGCGGCCCAATAAGTTAGCCCAAATGGCTCGACCCCTACACATTAATGTCTGATACTTACAGATCATCTACTAGTCAGCAGCAGGCCGCATTAGAATCAACTTATGGGTTTGGCACAAAATATACAAATTCATAATTTTATTGAGTTTAGTTTTGATCAGATTTGTTGATTTAGATTTTAGATAGGGCAGGAGTACCTATTATTAATCAATTTTTTTTAAAAAAAATAATAATAAAACATTAAATTAATTTTTTTATTTTTAAAATTTAACAAAAATAATAATTTTATATTCAAAAAAATCATATGAATATTCATTTATATTATATCAAATAATTTTAGATTTTTAAAATTTTTACTACTTAAAACATAGACCAAAAATTAAAACCTTTAACCAAACACGTTTTATACACATTTTATTAGAAAATAGAACAGACTTCTCACATTGTACTAAATAAACATGTGTTTTATTATTTGTAATGGATCGGATTTTCTTATAGGAGATCGTGTGCAATACGAGGTTCAAATTTCAACATGATTAGATACGTAATTTTGAATATGTCGGATCTTAAATCTTGCTCGTGATTAAATATTAAATATCAATTTTGGACAATTAGGTTGTTTCATGCAAACTTTCCATTAATACAAAGGGTTTCACACGATAAATAAAACATACGGTGTTTTGTGTATTTTTAGTAAAATACAAGGATATATTATATAATTTATCATTTATTAAAGTACTTCCTTGAAATAAATAAATAGATTGAGAGTTGACAGATAAAGGAATGATTTATATTGAATTATTATTTTTTTAAAAAATAAATATCTATGTTATATTTTGTAGAAATATACATTGAAAAGTATATAAAAATTTATAAGAATTGAGCTGTTTGCAAAAATGGTTTGTTTATTATAGTTTGAAATAAATTATTAATTTAAATTTTTATTAAATCATATTTTGATAGGATATTTTGCAAAAAATAATATTACCTACGTCTCATAAAATCAATAATATTTGTTTTTGCAAGTAAATTTTTTAATATTAATAATATTATATTGGTTTATAATGAAAATTATTAAAATTGCCTTATTAGATTGTGTGATATAAAAATAATGTAAGAAGTTGTAAAATTATTAATTATGTTAGATATATAGTATAATTATTAAATTAAAAAATAATACTCTTCTTGTTTTAGAACCGTTAAAAATAAAAAATAATATTCTTATGATAAGGAGGATATATTTTATTGAAAAAAAAAAATTCATAAACAAACAAACAAATTAAAAAACATCATAATGTATTTTTTCTATTAAATATAAACAAACACAGCCTTATAAATTGGGCCGAAGTTGTAATTGGACCAGCCCAAATAGTTGGCTTATTTGATAAGGAAGAAGGCGCGGAATTACATTTCTGTCTTCAGAACTTCGCAAAAAGATCCTCTCTCGGTTTCCGACGGGAGGCGATGGCGGTGGAAAGTGGCGGAGGGGGTTTGTCGGAGTTGTACTCAAGCTCTAAGCGCTTATCTATTAAGATCAGAGATGATTTGGAGAGGCTTGAACGCTTAGAATACACATCGTCGGCGTCGGCGTCGGCGTCTTCGCTCTCATCATCGAGCGCGGTTGTTGGATCTTCCGATGATCAGGGGGCTGCAATTCGAAGAGATTTAAACCAGATCCAGTCCATTTGCGTTGATATGGATCGACTCTGGCGTTCCATCGCATCCAAGCCGCAGCGTGATCTCTGGAAAAGGTAGCGCAACATATGTGTTTGTTTCTAAGTAGTTTTGTTGAATTATATATGTTAGTTTTTCGTTTTACGATCCTTTGCTGGTAACATGGCGAGAATTTGGAACAGCTTCGTTACTTGCTAGCCAATTTTGTGTTCTGATAGATGAATTAATTTGTGAGGGCTCCGGAACTTGTAAAAGTGAACTTGCGAGCTGCTGTTATGTAAAATTTCAATAGATGATAGTCACCATACTTGCTGGCTAATGTTGTGCTATGCTGATGAATTGATTTGTAAGGGTTCCCGAATTGGTAAAGCTGAAATTACGATCTACTGTGTTCAAGTTGAATGGATTGCATAATTGTAAAGTAGATGATGCGCTAACAACTGGAAAGTCTGATGAAGCTGCTGATGAATCTTTTTTTTTTTTTTTTTATCTAATTGTTGGAAGACTATATAATACGAACTCGAACTTAATATATACATTTTTTCTATCAGCTTAAGTTTATAGGAGATCACCATTAAAATGATATTAGAGCAGGAGGTTGTACAAAATGCCCATGTGCAAGGTTCACGTGAGTGGAGTGTTGGAAGAGTAATTAATAATGCATTTTTCTATCGGTTTAAGCTTTTAGGTAAGATGATTATTTAACCGTTATTAATTTTAATAGTGATATCTTCAGCTAATTGCGAGTTGGTTAAAATGGCTTAGGGTGTGTTTGTTTGTCTTTCAAATGTTTTGGGGTGTATTGGATTTAGATTGGATATTGGATGTGATATTTTCAATGAAAATAGTTAGTTTGATTTGATCCTTTTTCAGAGGGAAAAAGTATTTTAAAATATAGATTGCGTAGTCCGAAAACAAGTTTGAAAAGTGAAAGCACAAACTTGTGTATATCTTTGAACTTCTGGTTGTCTAGTTCTCCTTGTTTTGTAGGAACTGTGGAAGTTATCTCATTCACATTGCTACTAAATCTTAATTAGTGCAACAAAGTAAGCATTCCCCGAGTATAAAATGTTTAGAACTGTCGAAGGTTATCCTTTTAGGACGAGATGTTTAGATTCATCCTATATTAGTTTGATATCTTTCGTAGTTCTTCTGGATTGAAGAAATACATCACTTGATAAATTGTAATTTGACTCAAGCTGTCTTTCTGTTTACGGAAAGTTCAACCACAATCAGGATGAAAGTGAGCTTTAAGTAGATTCTTTAGTTGATGTGATTTATATAACGATCATGATTGTGAAAAATATTCCATCTGATTAAATAATAGTAACCAAGCCTACCCTAAGAGAATTTTTGTTGATACTGATTTATTTATTTAAAATTTTTAATAATGGCGTGGAATCTTGCATTTGAAGAATAAGAAGCTGGTGCTTCTGTTCTTACATCTTCCTAATGAAATCGTTACACAATTCCTTTATAAGCTTAAAACATGTTCCCGATCTTCTCAGTCAGTATGCGTGCTCTTACATTTCATTTTCTTATTATGGATTTGGGTATAATTTCGTTCTTACAGAAAAATAGAACAAGTTAGCGAGGAGGCTGACTCATTTAGAGCAAGTCTGGACAAATACCAATTAAGGCAACAGAAACGAATACAAGAAGCACAAGAGAGAGCAGAATTACTTGGAAGAGCTGTACTTTCCTTTTCTTGATTTGAAGCCATTTGTCTTTGCTCTCCTTGTTTAAGTCGAGCCATTTGTTTGATGCCAACTTTTCTTTTGTTCCAGAGTGGGGATTCACATGTTCTGAGAATTTTTTACGACGAGGCACAGGCAGTGGAATCAGTCCGCAGATCATCCAGGGTACTAGAAGAGTCTTTTGCAACTGGAGTTGCGATACTTAACAAGTATAGCGAGCAACGAGATCACTTAAAGGTAACCATTCCAAAGCACCGATTGCGTACTCAATTAAGTATTGAAACACAATTACATATGTGAAATATTTCCATAATATTGTCATCGTGTCTTTTCAAGTTTTAACCATAGAAAGTGCATGAAAAATTAGGTTTCGTGATCTTGATTTCGGTTCAAGTTGCGCTTTAACGAATTACCTTAGAGCTTCTAATCTATTTAGTTCACTAGCAAGTCCGGGATATGGTTTAATGGAGTTAAATTGCCTTCCTTTAGGTATTTGTTAGCATCTACTATTATTATTTTAATAAGTGCAAGCTGACCTTTTATATCAGCCCTCTCTAAGAACCAAACTGAGTCTATAATGATCTAGGGTATGTTGTTTGTGTCGTAAACTCGAAACATTTTGAACAAAAATAAGGCGTCAAATGTAATGTTTTAAATGGATAATAGAGTTTAGGCATCCGATGTGATTCTTTTAAGTGCAAGATTTTTTTTTGCCCTCTAGATTGCATAGTGCAAAACATAAGACCGAAAATATAATAAACACTTGTTTGTGGGTTTGGATTTTTAGGTTAGGATTTTTTAATAGTAAAAAATTGAATTTGAATAGCTATTTGATGCAATATAAATAGATGTTGATATGATGTTTTGAATATAAAATAAATTTGTAGTATAATATAAAAAAAGAAAAATAATTATTTGATTTGATATTTTTAGAGGAAAAAAAAATTGACAAAAGAGCACAACCCTTAGGTACTGTAAGTTGAATTTCTGGGTTTTGAATAGTAAAAATTTTAAGTCGAATGTGATATAAGTAGATGTTTATATGGTAGTTTGAATGTAGTATTTATTTTTAATTTAATATAAAAAAATACTTGTTTTATTTGATGTTTTTTAAGGGAAATTTTTTTTTATTGAATACTAATGTTTGAGTTGCAAACCACAAACAAATTGAGCCCTATATATTGATTGTTAATTTATACACAAGATAAGACGCTTTTGGGTTTCTAGTTCCTTCTATACATCTGGTTATGATTTATTTTAATCAATTGGTGTAAGTTCGAAATGAATGAAAAAATTGGAAAAATTCATGTATCTCATCCGCGAAAAGATTATATGTTTTCCTAAATGTTCATTTTTGTTACCATGGTTTCTTCCATTGATGCAGAGAGCTCAAAGGAAAGCCCTGGATGTTGTCAACACTTTAGGGCTTTCAAACTCACTGCTGAAGCTCATCGAGAGGCGCAGCCGTGTTGACAAATGGATCAAATATGCCGGCATGGTTTTAACAATCGTCATCCTCATTGTTTTCTGGAGGTGGACGAGATAAAAAAAAAAAATACTTTGTGCACTCCCGGCCGAGCTGGACTTCCCTTCGACCTTCCACCAGGTACCCCCGAAATATTAGTTTTACTAATTTCTTTTTTGGCATTTTGCTAGGAAAAAGAAATGAGAATAGAAATTTGTGCACTTAAAAAATTGGGTGGGAATGTTAGAAGAAGGCTCTAGGGATTTTTTGTTAAGATTTTCTTGAAATGCATCTTTGTGTTAAGAGTGCATGATTTGAAAGATACGAAGATCCTGATAGGCTTGTAGACATACGGTGGTTTAATTTGATGTAACGGCTCGATAAAAAAAAAAAAAAAATTGAATGTGAACTGTTGTGTTGTTTAATTTGATGTAATGCTTTGAATGTAAAATAAAATGGTAGATATTTGATGTAGATATGCCTAAATAGTTGAGTTGTCGGTTTTTATTTGTCGATCTTCTAAGTTATGGTTTTGGCCTTAGCTTGAATGATTTCGGTTCAAAATAGCTAGGTTTGTTTCTTATATTTTTGGTTTAATATGAATGGATTTGCCTATGTTATTTGAAGTATTTTTTTTTGAGATGATGTTAATAAAATCATACGCTACAAAATAATTAATAAATTACCATCGGATTTAGAAACTTTTACCCGTGCATGGTTATATGTTTCTTCAATATTTTTGAAGATAAAAAAAATAAAAATAAATAAGTCTTATATATAGAGTTTTAGAAAATAAATAATTTTTTTTTGTTTGTTAAATTTATTTTTATTTTACTTTTATTTTAATTTATTTTATTACTAATTTTGGCAAAAATTAAGAAATCAATATTTATTTTTTTTTTTCATTTAGTTTAATTTCTAAGTATGTTTTCAAAAATATTTCAACAATTTATTATTTACCAAATTAAAGTGGATTAATTTTAATGAACGAACATAATATTAAAAAGTGAAAAATAAATACCCAAAATGCGCACATGACCTCATGGGCTACAAATACACCACCGGATCATCTTTTACGGGGCTAAGATATAACTATACTTAAAAATGAGTGAAGTTTAGGGTTATATTTCAAACCAAACTTCCATTGCAAAATTACTATTTAAATAAATTCAAATACAAACCACAAAGCCAAAGAAAGAACCAAGGCTGAGGAAACCAACCATTACGATATAAATAATAATTTGACAATTTATGGTTTTAAACAAGTAAAAATCACACACATCTTTCTTTCAATTATCACCATAATTCACTACAAAATTGCAACAAGATTTGATCATAATCACCTCGAAGGAAGCCATCCTTGCCTCAGTCTTCCTCCTCCTCCTCCTCCGAATAATTGAACTTTATCGAATGCGATTGCAGGTCGATTTGTCCTCCTCTATAGCTACCGCGCTTTTTCTTGGTTTTCTCATGCCGGAAATCCCTGCATACAACGGGGAACCAAACATAGATGTATAAAATGTACCCAAAGAAGCTAATAGATGCAACTCTAAGAATGGAAATGGATATATATCGATCGAGAACAAAGTCAACAATATATTATATACTAAATCCAAAGTCAATCATTCAGCACAAAACATCGTCTCTTATATATCATTTTGTAATGTTTCCAAGCTATACAATTTATGGTAAAATATTATATCATTTTGTAATGTTTTCAAGCTATGCAATTTATGGAAAAATATTATGTTCTACCAAAAAGACCGTAACATCTAATGTCTATTTTTTCATTTATAATATAACATCGAGAAATCTATTTCTCATTCAAATATGTCAAATCCAAAACATCAAACACACTATGGGTGCAAACTTTACAAAGCTATAAAGAAAGGTAATGTTTGGAAATCATGAAGAAACACACCTTCCTTTGACTTGTCCGAGAACTTCTTGCGCTTTTGCACCATAACCGATCTCTGCACCATCCTGCAATAAGCAAAACAATTGAGAAGATTAAAATTGTCGGAACATTAGTGAAGGTATTCAATCAATTTAATGTTAGAAAAGCATTTACTTCAAGATACATACATACATATATATATATATTGTAGCAAACATGATTTAAGCAAAAAGTAAAGCAAGGAAAGCCGAACCTACCTTTGCCCAGTAAGAATTATCTTGAAGCCTCTCATCAGCAAATTTTACTTCATCGATCTTGACTCTTTGAAAGGCATTTACTGATTTTGGCTGCAAAAGAACAGAAATCATTTTTGTCAATATCTTCTGCGAATCCAACTCAATGAAATCATGATTCGAAGATAATAACAGCAACAAAATGACAGAAAGAAAACAATTATTTGCCTACTGAAAGAAAATCACATCTAGGTAGGTATTGAATCGTAATAGTTGCATATTAGTTAGTAACTTAGTAGAGGTCGTAAATGCGAGAGATGTCAAAACCATTAAGCAGGGAGATAAAGAAGGCACCTCGTCGGAATCCTTGCGCTGTTTCTTTGCAGATTTTGACTCACTTTTATCGACTCCCTTATTATTAAGAGTAGCTTCAGCACTTCCATTGGTTCCTTTATCAGAAATATCCCGGGCAGCCCCTTGATGAGTTTCCTTCTCTTTGCCTTCCTCTGTACCAGGAAGATTCTTAGGCTTCGATTCCTCTACTCCTCCGTCCTGAATAACCTGATTTTCTTTTTCCTCGGAATCTTTTCTTTTCCTTTTCTTAGAAGATTTCTCAGAGTCTTTAACTCCATTCTCCTCCGCCTTTAAATCCTCATTCTTTGTTTCAGCCACCATGTCAGTCTGCTTTCTACCCGAACCTAATGATTCTGATGTTAAATTGTCTTTCTTTTTCTTTTTCTCTTTCTGTTTCCTAGCCGATTGGTCCACCGTATCACGATCTTTGCTATCATCGGAACCTTTCGCGGGTTTACTTTTTTCGGCATTATTGGCAGTGTTGGTAGCCAATTATGAAGTTAAATTGTCTTTCTTTTTCTTTTTCTCTTTCTTAGTCGATTGATCCACCACATCAAGATCTTTGCAATCATCAGAACCTTTTACGGGTTTACCTTTTTCACCATGATCGGCAATGTCTGTAGCCAATTCTTGGCCCTTGGCCTTTTTCTTCTTCTTCTTCTTACCCTCAATTTCCTCACACTTCCCATTTGCATTGGCTACAGAAACCAACTGTTCTTCTGTAAAAGGCTAAAAGAAAATCATCAGGAGCAGTGGCTTTCCAAATAAACTGATTATTTACCAATGGAACGAAATTCGGGGGAAAGAATTACAGAACCACACAGAAATTTACCTTGCTTATTGAGTACCACATCTTCAGGTTCGTTACTACTGCAAAATGTGTTGGACAGAATTTCAGAAGTTGTTGTCATAGTTGAAGTACGCAATGAATTTGATATGACACTCTGTTGAATGCCTTACCAGGTCGCAGGAAAACCTCACTTAAGTTAACAGCCTTTTCCTTCCAATTGTCGTCCTGAAAAGCATAACAATGTAGTTAACCATTTTACTGCTCTACATAACTTTCACATATATGATTGTGCTACCACAAAGAGTTTCTGCACTCACTACAAGAATGTTAGAGAATAATGTTTCCTTATATTTTTGGTATGTTTTTGCACTAAGAACCAATCATTCTATGGTAAAAAGCTTTTCTTGGCCAAAAACATCATTATAACAACTATTTTCCAATCCAAAAATATCATCCAAAAACACCAAATATATTCCAAAACACAAATAATCACACAGTAAGTTTTCCTTAACAGCAAGAACACCAGTGAAAAAAGTTAAATCTTCTCACAGATTTTATTTTATTTTATTGATATAATTTCTTGCTAATGTTTAAGTCAAAAAACACCTTCAGTAATTGATGAACTTTCATCTTACGTTGATTCAATTCATCTATTTCCACTCCAAAAGGCTAGTTTTCAACTATGCTAAGGGCGAAAAACACCAGTGCAAGAGAAGCAGATAACTATCTACAATTTACGCCAAACCTACTCCCCAGAGACAGCATTAGTATTCCATTCAATGGATCAAAACGAACACAGACCTGAATTTGTGCGGCGTAGAGGAAGCGCTTGAGAACTTTGGAGAAGCCTTTGTTTTCGAGCCATAGAGCAATGGAGCAAATCATAGCATACTCGTCCTCAGCCTTCAATTGCACTGGTTTCTCCTCTTTTTTCGTCGCCATTGATGCGGATACTGACGGATTGGCCCGCCGCTGCTCCAAAAGGATGACCTGACGAGGCTTGAAGGCGACAAACAACGACAGTCGGCTAGGGCTTACGTCACCGCTCCCGCGCATATACCAGATATTGACCACGAGTCTGCGTCGGCGGTGGCGTCGATCAACCTTTCTTCTACCTCAGAGAAGGTTCTCGAATATTTGTAGATGCGCAGAGACTTTTAGGGTTCTGCTATTTTGCACCTGGATTAGATGTTGTATCTTGTGAAGCAAATGTTGTACCCTTGCTTTCTCGACGCGTTAGGGTTTATGCCTGCAATGAATGTTGTACTTTGTGATTTTGAATGTTGTACAGTGTTAATTGGGCTCGTGGCCCATTATTGAAATGGGCCAAAAGGCCCAAAAGGAATAATGGCATCTCCCTATAGTTCTCTATCTTGCACATAATCAGATGTTGTACCTCGTGATGTGGATGTTGTACCCTTGCTTTCAGGGCGCGTTAGGGTTTAGGCCTGAAGTGAATATTGTACTTTCTGTTGTTAATTTTGTACGCTGTTAAGTGGGCTCTTGGCTCCTTATAAATGGGTCCGAATAGGCCCAATAAGAACAATGGTATTTCCTATATTAGGGTTTGCGCCTCCCTTTGTCTGCAGATCTCTCTCTGCAACAAAGAAGAAACCCTAGAAGGTGCTGCGGTTCAAGTTTCAACAGGTAATTTGCTACCCGTTGCTTCGTTTTGTTCGTCGAATTGAGAAGATTTTCTTTCTTCAGAAGATTGTAATCTGATTTTTGATTAATTTGGGTTCATTAGATTGATATTTTATTTTATTTTTGAACATTGCGATACATCGTTGTTTTGAAATCGGTGAAACTACTCTTTCGTAGACTTTATAGTATTGTAGTGCTCTTTGATCGGATGGATTTGGGAAGCTTTGTAGGATCAGATTCAGTGTGTGTATTAAATTAGATGTTATGTACCTGGGAATTATTAACAACAGATTTGCTGCCGTTAAAGCTTACAGTAATTAATTTGCTATCTATATCTTCGTTTTTGTAATTGAAATTGTAGTGTTAGTTCTGCTAAAGGAGATTGCAGTGGGATTTTTAGTTCAGATTCATAAGATTGGGATATTTTATTTTTTTTGGTGGACGTGTGATACGTTCGTTAATTTAAAATTGTTGAAACTTATTGTTTGTATGCCTTTATTGTATCAAAATGCTGCTAGATCTCCGATCAAATTTGGGAAGCTTTGTTGTATAAGGTTCAATGTGCGAATTGATTTGATGTTCTGTAACCTTGTATCATTAATAGTAAAGCAAATTGTTTGGGCATATCAGATATTTCAGTCCGTGTAATGATTTCTTATTTTATTTTGATTGATTTATGTGATAGAGAGATGAGCGACGAGGTAAAGGTTGGGATACTCGTTCCCGAGTCAGTCTTGAAGAAACAAAAGCGAAATGAGGAATGGGCCCTTGCAAAGGCGAAAGAACTCGAGCAAGCAAAGAAGAAAAACGCTGAGACTCGCAAGCTAATCTGCAAAAAAGCAAAGGAGTATGCCAAGGAATACGAAGAAAATGTACGGTTGAAATTACCTTATTTTTCGGAATCAATGTGTATTTCTTTGATTTTATTCGTTTTAGATTAAATGTAATTTCTGTGATAATTTTTACTTTTCATCCTTTGAATGTTTAGGAGAGGCAACTGATTCAGCTGAAGCGTGAGGCTCGTTTGAAGGGCGGCTTCTACGTCAGTCCCGAGGCCAAGCTTTTGTTCATCGTTAGAATCCGTGGGTAAGGCATTTCAACTACAATTCATGTAATTGATAACTTTAATATTCTCAAACATAGATGATTAAATTACTGTTTTCTCTATCAGTATTAATGCAATGCACCCGCAGACCAAGAAAATTTTGCAGCTTCTGCGACTGAGACAGGTATGAATGCGGCCAATTATTTAGTTTCCGAACCTATTTGTTTGCACACAACATTTATCTAACAAATTGATTTGAACTACTGTAGATTTTCAACGGGGTATTTCTGAAAGTTAACAAAGCTACACTGAACATGCTTCACAGAGTCGAGCCATATGTTACTTATGGGTAAGACATTCTCTCATACCTCTTATATGCCTTAACATTTATTCACGACAAACGTCTGGAAAACCCTCATCATAATTACACAAATTTTCAGATACCCCAACCTTAAGAGCGTCCGAGAGCTGATTTACAAACGAGGCTATGGGAAAGTGAACAAGCAGCGGATTGCCTTGACAGACAACTCTATCATCGAGCAGGTACCTTGTGTGTTTCTTTTGAGTTTTTGTTTATGTTGTGTTTGTGTGGGGTTTTGGATTTATATTTTGAATTACAATAGTTATTTGACTTGATATAACGAAGTGATGATTTGATGCTTTTATGTAGAGTTTTTTTTTTATTATTATAATATAAAGATAAAAACAAGTATTTGATTTAATGGTTTTGGAAGAAAGAATTCGATCCAAACAACCACAACCTTAGGTTGGGTTCTTTTGTGGGTTTTACAACGTATTTTTATTATTTAGATTCTTTTTTTTTCTCTAAAAATATCAAATTAAACAATTATTTTTATTTTTTTATATTATAGTACAAATCAAACACACCCCTAACTTTCTTTGAAAACAAAAACTTTTCTTTTTCTCTCAAAATACAAATCATTACATCCTTGTTAACTCAATGTCTTCTTACGCCGTGTAGTTTTCAAAATCTACTGTTTCTTGATGGGCCCAGCCGTCTTAAATTGCTTTATTTCGATTTTTTTGATAGACATTGGGTAAGACGGGAATAATTTGCGCGGAAGATCTCATCCACGAGATCATGACGGTGGGGCCCCACTTCAAGGAAGCGAACAACTTTTTGTGGCCATTCCAGCTGAAGGCACCCCTGGGCGGGTTGAAGAAGAAGAGGAACCATTACGTCGAAGGCGGTGATGCTGGTAACCGCGAGGATTACATTAACGAACTCATTAGGAGGATGAATTAAGTAAGCTTTATCGCAATTTTGCTTTTGCTGCATTGAATCGAATTTTCGATCTGCTTCTTCAAGACTTATTTAGGCACTTTACTAAGGTAAAAATATGTTTGTGTTGCTTGGTAGGATAATAAAAAAATACACTATCATTAAAATTTATGCCTTTTTTTTTTTTTTTTTGCTAAAAAAATATTCTTGGCTTTTTAGTAAAATATCATTTTTTTTCTGTACTCTGAAAGAATACTTTTTATATTTTTATTTACTTTTCTTAAAATTTGTACTCTTAAATGAGTGTAAATTTTGATGATGGTTAGGGTGAGTATTCCGATTTGAAAATCCGAAATTTTTGGAAAAATCAATTCGAACCGAAATTCGTAATTCGAACTAAAAATTTCGAACTAAATTAAAAATTTTGAAATTCTAAATATTTATATTATTATTTTTTTAATTTGTAAATTTTCTTTTATATTAAATATAAAAATTCGAACTAATATTATTTTATAATATTAAATATATATAATATATTAAAATATAATTAATAAATTTGAGTTTTTTATATTAAAATATAATATTTTCTAATAAAATATTAAATATGTACAATAAAAAAAATATATTAAAATGTTATATTTCGGATTTCGGATTGGTTCGGATTTTAAGTAAATTGATCTGATCATAAAATTCGAAATTTGTTAAAAATTTAATCCGATCAAATCCGAAAATCTGAAAAATTTGAACCAAATTTTAAATTTCAATATAGGTCCGTAGTATTTTGAAGTAAGAAAACAGAAGTTGTGGCGGTAATTTAGGAAATTTATTAGTGAATGTGTTTAATTGATGGTATATGTTTGATTTATCAACAGTGGTAATTGTTATTATGAAAAAAGTAATTATTACTTGGTGTTTGTTATTTATTTAGGTTGTGTTGTTTTAATTTTACTATATATTTTTACTATTTAGTTTTTTTTTTTTTTTTAAGGTATTACATCAAATAATTATTTTATATATATATTTATACTATAAATTTATTTTATATTTTAAATATTATATAAATTTTTATTTATATTATATCAAACAACTATTTAAATTCAATTTTTTATTATTGAAAAATTCAGACTAAAAAAATTAAAACCCAAAAACAAACACACCATATTGTATTTATAGTATTATTCTCCATAGAGTGTGTTTTGTTTGGAAGATTTGTTAAAACTTAAACTATTAATTAAATTTTTTTCTCAAAAATATCAAATCAAAATATAAAATCATACAACTATTCAAACCATAAGTAGATGCTGAATAAATCATATCCATTTAATATTGTAATTAATGAAGGATAATTTAGTTTATTACAATTTTCAACTTACAATCCACTCTTATACTCCCTCCGTCCCAAAACTATGATTTTATTTGAGTTGGGTACGATATGTAAAAGGTATTCATATTATATTGATAGTCGGTAAAAAATATGAATAAAAGACATTTTTATCCTTGTGAGTGTATTAGTATAAAAAGTAGTGATATTTGTATAATAATAATAATAAAAAAGTAAGAATGTATTAGTATAAAAAGTAGTGATATTTGTCTAATAATAATGAAAAAGTAATAATAATTTTACGGTGATATAAGTATTTATGAAAAAAAGGATATTGTTTTGGGACGGACAAAAATATAAACAAAACTATTGTATTGGGACTGATGAAATATTATTTTGCACAAATAAATGATTTTTTACATAACATAGTTTAATTCCACCCGACAGAGAGAGATCTTGATAAATAAGTACTCCCTTTTGACATCTTTTGTTGTGGAAAATAATGTGCCAATTATTTTTATTTTTGTTGGCCGTTTTACATATTTTGTTTTTTTTTTTTTTTAAAATATTAATTATTAATTTTAGTTATATTTTAAATTTTATAATTTATAATTTATTATATTAATTAAATTATTTTATTATTTTATTTAAATTCTTGTGTTTACTGTACAACATGGAGACTTTAGGGTGTATTTGTTTGGAGGTTTGGATTTTAATTTGGAATTTGAATAGTAAAAATTTTGAATTTGAATAGTTGTATGATGTGATATAAATAGGTGTTGATGTGATGTTTTGAATGTAAAATAAATTTTTAGTATAATATAGGAAATGAAAAAGAGGTGTTTGATTTGATGTTTTTGGGGTAAAAAAATTTTATGAATAGTAGAAAAAAAATCCAATCCCTCAAACAAACACACCCTAAATGAATATTATATTACTTTCTCCATCCACGAACTAACGTGCTACTTTTTTATTTGGGACATTAAAAAACTATTGTCATATTTCATTTTTTAAACACAAATTTTATTTTTTTACCCTTAATTTATTTATTACTTTTAATTTCTCCTGTACAATTAAGGACAGATTTGTTAATTCATAACAAAAAGACAATTACTTAAAAAATTATGCAAATATACTTTAGGATAGTAGAAATTAGAAATTAGACTGAGAGTATGTTTTGGGGGTGTTTGTTTGAGGATTGGATTTTAAATACACTATTCATCCTATTTTTCCCCCCAAAAAATATCAAATCAAACACCTATTTTTTATTTTTTATATAATACTAAAAATTAATTTTACATTCAAAATATCACATCAATCCCTATTTATATCACATCGTACAACTATTCAAATCCCAACTCAAAATTCAAAAGTCCCAAACAAACACGTAAATTGTGTAAATTCAACTGAATCTCATTACTTTAGCTCGCAGTCTTGATTGACTGCGGTCTTCTTTAAAACGTGCTCTCTCACTTTTATTTAGGGTGTCTTTGTTTAGGGTTTGAATTTTGAGTTGGGATTTGAATAGTTGTATGATGTGATATAAATAGGTGTTGATACGTAGTTTTAAATGTAAAATTGATTTTTAGTATAATATAAAAAATAAAAAATAGATGTTTGATTTGATGTTTTTAGGAGAAAAGAATTAGATGAATAGTAGATTTAAAATTCAATCCCTCGAACAAACACACCCTAAACGTACTCTTGTCTTTTTCTAATTATATTGTCTATCTTGATATTAAAATTATTGCCTCTTCATTCTAACGAAAATATAATTATTTATTTTTTATACGTGAATTTTAATATATTAATATTTTATAAATAATAATATAATAAATTAAAAGATAAAAGATAACTTATTCTAAAAATCTTTTATTTTATAATGATATTATTTATAATTTGGTAAAAGATAAGAGTTTTTAGAGTTTTTTTTTTTTTTCCTCAAAATACCTAATATATTTTTGTAAGAAAATTATTATATTATACATATTTATTATTTTTATATTATATAAAAAATTTACTATATTTTACAAAAAAGAAAATATTCCTATAAACCAAAATACAAAACAAACAAAATTAAAATAACAAAATGATTATATTAGTTGTGGATATAACGAGTTATTATAATTTAAAATATATTTTAGTCTATGAGATGATTATGTTAATTTTTTGTGTATGTATAATCTATTTATAATAAATTATTTTATTTAATCATAATTTTATTATTTATAAATTAATAAATAATAATAAATTTATCATTTTTTTTTTGTTAATTTTCGTAAATTTTCACTATAATCTTATTTTATTTTATTTATATATTTCTCTTTTATATTAAAATTAATTAGTACTCTTTTTATTCAGCTAAAATGTATATATTTATCTTTGGTGTGGATTTTAACTAATAATAATATTTTTAATTAAAAATAAAAAATAACAAACTTTCAATTGCACAGAGTGAATACATAATTAAAAATATGTAAAAATATTTTTGTTTGTTTTTTTTTTTTTATAAAATAATAATATAATGATAAAAATAGAAGTATTTTACAGAAAAAGAAAAAAAAATATATTTTTGAAAATAATTACTTTATAATTAGATAATTCAAAATAAATATATATATAATTTGTGAGTGGATAAAAAATAATATAATAGTTTTATTAAAATTCGTTTCAACGGATATAAAATTCGTGGACTGATGAAATATTATTTTGACAAAGTATATTTTCCTAAATTTTTTTATATAAATATAATTATTGAAAGAAACGAAAATATCCTTCTAATTATTGTCACTGTGAGACACAAAATTTCGTAATGGCCCACTTTGTTTACTCCACGATTCTCCACAAGTTGCCACGTGTACATTACCCTGAGCCGACTCGGTGCACGTTAGCTCCATCACCGTCGTCGAAGCTTCTCGACCTTTCTACACATCATTCCCCGCGCTTATAAAAACCTCCTGCGCGCGCGCCGCACCTCCAATTCATCAAAAATTCCCAATCTCAGAAAACTGCTGCAGTTACAGAATTACAGCTCGAAATCTATCCTAATTTTATCCGATTGATCAGGAGATTATGTGTTTTCTCGGATGCGCGACGGAGGAGACGGAGATCGGCCGGCGGCAGGCGCCGGGATCCTGCCCGTACTGCGGCGGAAAGGTACAGGCGGTGGACGTCGCCGCGCGGTGGCGGTTTCTGTTCTTCCCTGTCGGATTTAGGTACGGACGGAAATTCTTCTGCGCTCTCTGCTCCAGGCGTCTGCTTCCGTACGATTCGTATGCGTGGTGAATCGGGTGATCGATTGAATTCGAATATGGTAATGGAACTGCCTCATTTATCAACTGTGGATATCGTATTTGTTGCCGATTGAATTTTTGTTTTTTTGCTGTTGTTCATTGACGTAGAGGCGTATAGATACGAGTTTTATTTTATTTTTTTAAGGTACTAGTCTGTTATTGAAAAACTTTTGTTGTATAGACACGAGTTTTGTGTACGAAATTGTATCATTCGTTTTGGGGAATCGGAGGATTGAATTTGTTTATTGTGAGATGAAATTGATGAATTGATTATCGTCTTCTTCAGTTCCAACTTTCATTTCTCTTAGTTTCAGAATATCACTTGTGGAGTTGGATTCTGTGTGTTCTCTCCATGGACTCCGGCGCCGGAATTATCCACGCCGCCGTACAGTCTCCGGTGCACTGTAGTGTGTGTGGATTTGTCCTTATTATGAATAATATTTTTTTAACAAGTATTTAACTTATTTAAAATATTCATTTAATGACAACAATCAAATGTCAATTTTTCTTAAACAATCTTAAGACTGAATTTTATTTATTACTGTTGTATTTAATTTCTCTTTTAAATATATATGATTACATTCTATATTAAAAAAAAAAAACCCCTAATATATATTCTCAATATAAATATAACACATGTCCATGTACGACGACGCTTTCGCTCCTCCAAAATATCGGCGAGAAACCTAAGAAATCCGGGATCAGCCGAATCGACATTTTCGACCAACACGATGAGCTTTCCGACGCTCCGCAACGCCATTTCGAGCGCGGCCGAGTTCTCGGACACCGTAAACGGGCAATTATTCTTCGGATCCAAACAGAATAAAAAATCCGAAGAACCGAATACCGCATTCGCTATTCCGACGGCTAATCTTTGTTTTCCGACAATATCGTTTCTCCGAATTAACATCCACGTATCTTGTCGACGATCGTAACCTTCCATCAATGCGGTCGCTATCGACGGTATCGACTCGATTTGCCACGGAATGCTCTCTCTAAGCGTCCCGACAATATCCTCTTCGATTCGGTTGCAATCGCATTCGCAATGTGTTCCGAGGGTCAGCACTGTATTTGCCGTCTTGTATTTATTAGGACAATGTGAGCCGTACGATAAAGAAATGTCTTCGATTTTCTTCATGAAGTAATATCTTCTGAATTTAGTTACACATGCGTATAAACACATTAAAGGGTCTACAAATTTAACTTCACTTCGTTGGGTTTGTTTGGTTGTGTTTTTTAATTTTATTTGAAATAATGCGTTAGATCTGTCATTTTCTTTTTTTCGATTAGTATTTGGATATGATATTTTATACTTTATTAGAAAATTAATATTATATTTTTAATAAAAATTATGCTGATAAATAATATTGATTTGAATTTAAAATAGTAACAAAATAGAACTCATCAATTAAAGGTTCTTTACTTATATTTTGAATTTATTTTTCGTATTGTTTAGAAACTAAATTACATATTTTTTTTATTAAAAATCTTAACTGTCTCACCAGTTGATCAACAAAAATCTGATTATCAAAGTGTTTATGTTTAATTTTAAGTGTTATATATAAAAATAAATAAAAAATAATTCAGTAATACTTCATCCGTCTCTTAACAATCTATCTATTTTTCTATTTTGATCCGTTCCATAATAAAGTATTTATTTCCTTTTTTTTTAAGTAATTGTATTATCTACCTAACATTACAAATACCTTTCAAATTTACAATATATTACACAAATGTCATTTAATTTATATCATACAATAGTTAATTTAGGGTGTGTTTGTTTGAGGGATATGTTTGAATTTCTACTATTCATCCTATTTTAGGCAGTAATAAATATATAACTCTTAGGCATTCCATTTATATATAAATTAGATATCAATTAATAAAATTACAAATAATGCACTGTTTGACCATACTATACTAATATTTTAATTAAAACATAACATTATTATTATTATTATTATTATTATTCTTCGGACACATATGATAATATTTATTGAAAATAATATAATATTCTAAATAGATCTCAATAGATAAACACTAACAGATACAACTCTCTAGACAAATAGAAGAAATTAATCAAAACCACAACTAATGAAGTTAATATATAAATTCTACGTAATGTTAAAATGCTATATATTTTTCTTAAAAGATAAATCAAATAGTCAATTTTTTAACCGTATCATCTATCAATTTTTCTATAAAAGCATTTCAATTCCTTGATACACACCATTCAACAATTAAATATTATTATTTCACAAAAAAAATGTCAAAATTATTATAAATTTATATTAGTTAGATTAATTTAAAATGTAAAATATTTATATTTATATTAATAAAATAAAAATATTAACAAAAATTAATAATTTAGAGTAGATCAAACAACAAAAGCAACATAACAATTATTTTTTAAAATCAGCACAATAATAAATAAATAAATAAATAAAAGAAAATAACAAACTTTTGAAAAATAATTATTATTATATATATATATATAATTTTATTTTTTATATAACTATTATTATATAACTTTATTAATCTTTTGAAAAATTGTTAATCTTGTACGCTTTTAAGTGGGCTCTTGGCTCCTTATAAGTGGGCCCAATGCTATTTCCTATATTAGGGTTTTGCGTCTCCCATTGTCTGCACATCTCTCTGCAACAAAGACGAAACCCTAGAAGGTGCTGCGGTTCAAGTTTCAACAGGTAATTTGCTACCCGTTGCTTCGTTTTGTTCGTCAAATTGAAAAGATTTTCTTTCTTCCGAAGATTGTAATCTGATTTTGATTAATTTTGGTTCATTAGATTGATATTTTATTTTATTTTTGAACATTGCGATACATCGTTGTTTTGAAATCGGTGAAACTACTCTTTCGTAGACTTTATAGTATTGTAGTGCTCTTTGATCGGATGGATCGGGGAAGCTTTGTAGGATCACATTCAGTGGGATTTTTAGTTCAGATTCATAAGATTGGGATATTTTATTTTTTTTGGTGGACGTGTGATACGTTCGGTAATTTAAAATTGTTGAAACTTATTGGTTGTATGCCTTTATTGTATCAAAATGCTGCTACATCTCCGATCAAATTTGGGAAGCTTTGTTGAATAAGGTTCACTGTGCTAATTGATTTGATGTTCTGTGACCTTGTATCATTAATAGTAAAGCAAATTGTGTGGGCATATCAGATATTTCCGTCCGTGTAATGATTTCTTATTTTATTTTGATTGATTTATGTGATAGAGAGATGAGCGACGTGGTAAAGGTTGGGATACTCGTTCCCGAGTCAGTCTTGAAGAAACAAAAGCGAAATGAGGAATGGGCCCTTGCAAAGGCGAAAGAACTCGAGGAAGCAAAGAAAAAAAACGCAGAGACTCGCAAGCTAATCTGCAAAAAAGCGAAGGAGTATGCCAAGGAATACGAAGAAAATGTACGGTTGGAATTACCTTATTTTTCGGAATCAATGTGTATTTCTTTGATTTTATTCGTTTTATATTAAATGTAATTTCTGTAGATTAAATGTAATTTCTGTGATAATTTTTACTTTTCATCCTTTGAATGTTTAGGAGAGGCAACTGATTCAGCTGAAGCGTGAGGCTCGTTTGAAGGGCGGCTTCTACGTCAGTCCCGAGGCCAAGCTTTTGTTCATAATTAGAATCCGTGGGTAAGGCATTTCAACTACAATTCATGTAATTGATAACTTTAATATTCTCAAACATAGATGATTAAATTACTGTTTTCTCTGTCAGTATTAATGCAATGCACCCGCAGACCAAGAAAATTTTGCAGCTTCTGCGACTGAGACAGGTATGAATGCGGCCAATTATTTAGTTTCCGAACCTATTTGTTTGCACACAACATTTATCTAACAAATTGATTTGAACTACTGTAGATTTTCAACGGGGTATTTCTGAAAGTTAACAAAGCTACACTGAACATGCTTCACAGAGTCGAGCCATATGTTACTTATGGGTAAGACATTCTCTCATACCTCTCATATGCCTTAACATTTATTCACGACAAACGTCTGGAAAACCCTCATCATAATTACACAAATTTTCAGATACCCCAACCTTAAGAGCGTCCGAGAGCTGATTTACAAACGAGGCTATGGGAAAGTGAACAAGCAGCGGATTGCCTTGACAGACAACTCTATCATCGAGCAGGTACCTTGTGTGTTTCTTTTGAGTTTTTGTTTATGTTGTGTTTGTGTGGGGTTTTGGATTTATATTTTGAATTAGAATATATAACCAAGTGATGATTTGATGCTTTTATGTAGAGTTTTTATTATTTTTTATTATAATATAAAGATAAAAACAAGTATTTGATTTAATGGTTTTGGAAGAAAGGATTCGATCCAAACAACCACAACCTTATGTTGTGTTCTTTTGTGGGTATTACAACGTATTTTTTTTTTCTCTAAAAATATCAAATCAAACAATTATTTTTATTTTTTTATATTATAGTACAAATCAAACACACCCCTAACTTTCTTTGAAAACAAAAACGTTTCTTTTTCTCTCAAAATACAAATCATTACATCCTTGTTAACTCAATGTCTTCTTTTCTTACGCCGCGTAGTTTTCAAAATCTACTGTTTCTTGATGGGCCCAGCCGTCTTAAATTGCTCTATTTCGATTTTTTTTATAGACATTGGGTAAGTCGGGAATAATTTGCGTGGAAGATCTCATCCACGAGATCATGACGGTGGGGCCCCACTTCAAGGAAGCGAACAACTTTTTGTGGCCATTCCAGCTGAAGGCACCCCTGGGCGGGTTGAAGAAGAAGAGGAACCATTACGTCGAAGGCGGTGATGCTGGTAACCGCGAGGATTACATTAACGAACTCATTAGGAGGATGAATTAAATAAGCTTTATCGCAATTTTGCTTTTGCTGCATTAAATCGAATTTTCGATCTGCTTCTTCAAGACTTATTTAGTCGAAAATTTTGCATTTTGGGCTTCTCTTGTCGACATTCGGGTTAATTAGTATAATAAAAAAATACACAATCATTAAAATTTATCCTTTTTTTTGCTAAAAAATGTTCTTGGCCTTTTAGTAAAATATCATTTTTTTCTGTACTCTGAAAGAATACTTTTTATATTTTTATTTACTTTTCTTAAAATTTGTACTATTAAATGAGTGTAAATTTTGCTGATGAGCATTCGAATTTTCGGTTTAAATTTTGCTAAATTCGAACCGATCTGAAAATCCTAAATTCTTGAAAAAATCGATCCGAATCGAAATCCGTAATTCGAACTGAAAAATCCGAAACAAATTGAAAATTTTGAAATTTTAAATATTTTTATTATTTTTTTTAATTTTTTAATTTCTTTTATATTTAATATTATAATATATAAAAATTAAATATATTAAAATATAATTAATAAATTTGAGTTTTTATATTAAAAATATAATATTTTTTAATAAAATATTAAATTTGTATAATAAAAAAATATATTAAAATGTTATATTTTGGATTTCGGATTGGTTCGAATTTTAAGTATATCGATCCGATTATAAAATCTGAAATTTGTTAAAAATTCAATTCTATCAAATCCTAGACGAAATTTTAAATTTTAATTTGGTTCGGATTGAATTTTTGGGATTTCGGATATTTTGCGCAGCTCTATCGACGGTGGTGTAGTATTTTGAAGTAAGAAAGCAGAAGTTGTGGGGGTAATTTAGGAAATTTATTAGTGAATGTGTTTAATTGATGGTATATGTTTGATTTATCAACAGTGGTAATTGTTATTATGAAAAAAAGTAATTATTACTTGGTGTTTATTATTTATTTAGGTTGTGTTGTTTTAGATTTTACTATATATTTTTATTATTCAGATTTTTTTTTTTTTTAAGGTATCATATCAAATAATTATTTTATATATATATTTATACTATAAATTTATTTTACATTTTAAATATCATATAAATTTTTATTTATATTATATCAAACAACTATTTAAATTCAATTTTTTATTATTAAAAATTCAGACTAAAAAAATTAAAACCCACAAACAAACACACCATATTGTATTTATAGTATTATTCTCCATAGAGTGTGTTTT